GATTATATCCATCAAGTGTGCTATTCTCTCCCTTTCTTCCTCATCCATCTGTCCCTTTCTTAAGAGAAATGAATGAGATCCAATTAGCTTTATCAAATCAGTGGCCACAGGAGTTCCCACCAGCCCAGGAGTCCCAGAAGTTATCCCAGTGGGACTAGACAACAGCTCTGAGCTTTATGTAAGTCTTCAAATTTATGAACTTGGAAGGGATGCTCTAGTGGTTGATAGGTTTATATATACAGTCGTCCCCTTCGTCTGCAGTTTCACTTTCCATGGTTTTTAGTTATTCATGGTCTACCACTGTCCAGAAGCAGATAATACTCCTTCTGACCTATTGTCAGAAGGTCAATAGTAGCCTAATAGTGTGTCACGGTACATATGTCATTCACCCCACTTCATCTTATCACATAGGCATTTTACCATCTCACATCATCACAAGAAGGGTGAGTACAGTACAAGATATTTTGAGAGGAAGCAACCACCTTTATTACAGTATTATTATAATTATTCTATTTTATTGTTAATTATTATTTTTAATCTCTCACTGTGCTCAATTTTTTTTTTAATTTTTTTTTCAACATTTATTTATTTTTGGGACAGAGAGAGACAGAGCATGAACGGGGGAGGGGCAGAGAGAGAGGTAGACACAGAATCGGAAACAGGCCCCAGGCTCCGAGCCATCAGCCCAGAGCCCGACGCGGGGCTTGAACTCACAGACCGTGAGATCGTGACCTGGCTGAAGTCGGACGCTTAACCGACTGCGCCACCCAGGCGCCCCATGTGCTCAATTTTTAAATCAAACTTTATCATGAATATGTATCTATGGTAAATAACATAGCATGTGTAAAGTTCAGGCATCCATCCACTGGGAGTCTTGGAACATGTTTCACACGGATAACAAGGGACTACTGTACCTTATCCTATGGAATGAGCTTCAGGGATTTCGTAAGTGCTTGATTGAAATTTACTTGTAAAGACCTATATTTTAGCATAGAACACTTATCATAGAAACAATGCTCCTATAAAAAAATTTCTACCCTTTTTGTTTAACTGAAGAGTGTTATGAGATTGCAACACAAGCTTTTAAAGTACTCATTTACTTTACAATAAATCCTTTGTGATTTAACTGAACGTTAGAATTTTTAAAAGTTAATACAGAATATAGAACCAAACTGAATATTGACATTGATAAAAGATCACAACTGTCACCTATAATCTAGGGTTTCAAATGTTTATATTAACATACCCCCTCCCTGCTCTTTGATTGAATTTTAAAGAAATATTAAAAATTTGAGTTTCAAACACATTTATATAACTGGAAACTCTTTTATCTATCTTATCTATTAGGAGTCCACTTAACATTTCATTGAAAATATGTTTTTTACTGATAAAGAATATTTTAAAACCACTGTTTTAGTTCAATGCCACATTCTGTGGATTAGGTCATTGGGACCCAGGTAGGGTGAGTAACTTGACAAATGTCAGCCACACTATGAATAACAGAACTGGGAAGACAACCCATGGCCTCTGGCTTATGGGCTTCCTCCTGCTTTCTTGTGCAATAGTGTGACCTATTACCTTTACTGTGGGATTAACAAACCCACAATCACAAGCCCATGCCTTTCTGATAATAAAACTTGTACTGGTACTTACTGGTACATGAAAACAAAACAAAAAAAAATTAAATTGTAATAATTAAAATAAATATGTTTTTTCAAGTCCTTCAAAAATACCTAAATTGATATCACCAAGAAAGTGAAAATGTAACCAACAGATTGGGAGGAGGTATTTCCGGATCATATATCTAATAATGAACTTGGATCCAGAACTTATAAAGAACTCTTACAACTCAGTATTAAAGAGAAATTAAAAATTGGAATCAGTTTGACTCCATTAAAAGATGGGCAAAGAATCTGAATAAACATTTCTCCAAGGAAAACATGCAAATGGCCAAAAAGCACATGAAAAAAATGCTCAGAGTCATTAGTCATCTGGGAAATGCAAACCAAAATCACAATGAGATAACACTTAATGCCCACTAAGATGGCTAGAGTCAAAAAGTCCAATAATAAGTATCGATGAGGATGTGAAGAAATCAAATTGCTCCTATGTTGCTAATTGGACTGTAAAATGGTACAGGTGCTTTGGAAAAGGGTCTGGCAGTTCCTCAATCAATTAAATGCAGAAGTATCATATGACCAGCACCCCTCGATAGATATATACCCAAGAGAAATGAAAACATATGTCCACACAGAAGCTTGTACATGAATATTTATAGCAACATTATTGCTAACAGCCAAAAAGTGGGAACACCCAAACGTCCACCAGGGATTATTATGCAGCCATTAAAAAAGGAATAAGGTACTAATACATGCTACAATGTGAATAAACCTTGAAAACATCATGCTAAGTAGAAGAAGCCAGTCACAAAAGGCTACATAGCATATGATTCTGTTCATATGAAAATACAGAACAGGGAAAGCGAGACACAGATCAATGGTCACTTAGTGCTGGGATAGGAATGTTGGAGGAGATGGGTGATAGCCCAAGATGTGGGATCTCTTTTTGAGGTGATGAAAATATTCTAACACTGTTGATGGTTGTATATACCTGTGAATATGGTGGAAATCATTGAATTGTACACTTGAAATGGATAAATTCTATCATATGTGAATTATATTTCAAAAAAGCTGTTAAAAATATCCTCAACTGCTGTAATTGCCTTTCATAAGAAAATATATCTCTCCTCCCTAAGTTACGGAACCCAAGCCTGTTAATCCTGAACAAAGACTTCATAGATTCTAATCTCCCTCCCCACATTTAAATATTGCTATGGTCATTGATTAAATGGTATCTGTAAAGACATTTGGAAGGTGACGTATCACTCTGATTTATAATTTCTGGATACCACCTTTGGATACATTTTTAATGTGTTTATTTTAAAAAGGGCATTGCATTACCTATACTGCCGTTTCACAACATGTGTTTTAAAAAGTTAAAGTTTTTCATGAGACACCTAAGCTTATTTTTGTTCAGGCTGCATAGATATGTAAAATATTCCCTTTTTACCATTACAATAATAAGACATTTTATTAAAAATAGGAGACACCCAAGGAGATTGCCAAACTTTCAATCTCTTAGAAATGAAAAACTATTATGTGAAAATCATGGCTTTGGAACTACAGGTCTTTTCTTTTTATTTAATAAAGAAAACCTAAAACAGATAATCAGATAAGAGAAGGGAACCAATGGAAATGGGAGTGAACATTCACTTAACAACCTAACCTGATAACAAAATTCAGTATTGAATCTAGATACTTCAGCTTTGTGTTATCTGCTTAAAACCAATTGTAAACAGTTGCTTCCCCATTGATAATGCTGAGAGGCATATGGTTTCTGCCTAAAAGTTAAATCCAAAAGTTAGGATGTCGAAACATTTATTTAGCTTTGGGAAAGTTTAGGGGTTTTGTTTTGCTTGTTTGTTTACTTTTTTTACAGTTTTGTTGTTGTTGTTGTTGTTTTACAATTATTTTCCATTGTTTTGGGAGTAATATATATGGAAGTACCAAGCGCAGGATCGAGGAAGAGTGTGAATCCACTGAGTGTTCATTAGGTCTGGGTGGTTTGCCTAAGTTTAGCTACTAACAAAATTAGGTTCCTCCTGTATTTCTGTCTCCTTACAAAAAAAGTCGAGTCAGAGACCCATCGATGCCGTAAAAGTCCTGAATGTGAATAATCCACATGATGAATAACTGGCATGCAGTCAAGCAGGGGTTAATTAGGAGACAATGTGGTCTTGCCTCTGACATAGACAGCTGTGTGATCTTGGATAAGGGGTATTTACCCTGGACTTTCAGTTTCCTTGTTTGTGAAATAAGAAAATTAGACAAAACCATTTTAACTGCGATTCGTTCCAGCTCCAGAGTCCTGGGGTTACATGTGTTCGCTCCATGCCAGTACTCAGGTCAGTGAAGTTTGCGGCTGGCGAGGTGTTTCCCAGTCTGGCATTGTCACTGTCTTGTTTATACTGAGTTACACTGTGTGCTTCCTTATTTTTCTAGTAGCATGCAGTGACGCTGAAGGGAAAAACAAGTGTGAAACATAGGAAAGAAATAACTACTAATGATTCCTTCACTGACAAACCATAACCAATCTGGTCATGCTGGTCAGAGTAATGATTTTTCTAAAGGGAGTACCTTTGTAGTACCCTCAGTTTTGTAGTGTTCCTGTCAAATGGCTAGAAAGGCACGCAGAGACCTTTGGGGGTCAGTTGGGGTTAAAGCACTAGCATTCCACATCTGCTTATGGAACAGCCAGGTGGATGAATGATTAACTCAGTGAGTAAATTGTTCAGTGGGTGGGATTGAGAGTCTGGGTAGACATGTGGTCTGGGGTGGAGAGGGTGCACGCCAAGAGCAGAGGAGAAAGTTGAAAACAGGATTGGTTTTCAAACCGTAACCAGAGAAATATATGTATGTATAAATATTTATAAACACACACACACATGAGTTGAGTTGACTTGTTTTATGATAATTGTACCTGCAAATTCTCTGTTACCAGATTGAGAATATTTTTCTATTTCAGACACACACGTACGTACCAGTACAGACACATATGTTTTAGTGATATGCACATTTAAATCAGCACTCACAAATAGATTCAGTCGGAAAATCTCTGAAAAAGTCTTGTATAGGAAGAGAATAAATGCAGGAAGGAGGGGGCACAAGTTCACCCCCTTGGGGTTGGTTTGGTGCTGTTTGATTTCTGGAGGGGCTGAGGCAGCCAGCTCTCAAGAAGCTGCACAGACAAGGGCAGAGAAGTCAATATCAAGTCAGACGAAGAAGAAAGGGGTTCACAGGCTGTGTGGCATTCTCCCTCCTCCCCTCATACTGTTGTGACTGCACCTGCTGCATGTGACCAGCGGGCACTGAAGGCGGTCGCAGCCACGGTGACGGAGGCAGCCGAGGCTGTGCCAGCTCCCGCCCAGCCCTCATTCAGAAAAGGGGAGACGGAGCAGGAGGAGGGGGAGGATAGGCTCCCTGCAGAGCTGCCTCCACCACGGATCCGAGGAGGCTGCTTGGAATGGGCACTCAACTGTCCTGACGTGGCGATTCCCTCGGGAGCCCTGGGAGTTTGAAGACAGACGGGAAAAGGGAGAAGCCTGCAGAGAGCATCAAAGGATGAGGGGTGCTGTAAAAGGAACAGGGGAGTCCTTTGAAAAGAACCTATCATGCACTGAAATGCTTTCTGGAGAAGGTGCCATTATTTGCTTCCCCTTTCGCTCAGATGAAAGGAGCCAGCAAGGACCGTCCTGAAGTATTCCTCAGGGGCCTTTTTGTCATTGTTCCTTTTATTCCCCATGCACACGACTATTTGCTGACCTTTCCAGAGGAATCTCAGTCCCCTCAGTTCCAGCTGAGAAGACAGTTCTTAATAAAAAAAATAAAAAAAAAACCAAAAAACAAAAACAACAAAACAAAACAAAACAATTCCTGCTGTTTGAGTGGAAGGTGCGGCTGGCTGCCGTTCTTTTTGCTGTGACATTTTGGAATGTCTGCAGAAACTTAAAGCAAAACACCCAAATCTTAAAGCTCCTTGGATTAGGCAAGAGAAAAGGAAGTTTTTGCCAAAAGAGAAGTAAATGAGAGGTGGTAACTTATCCCTGATCTGGGACCTGGACGATCAAAGCCTTCAAGTTCTAGGAATCAGCACTTCAGCCCTAACAAATAAACATGAGAAGGAGTGGCCGTGGGGTATCACACAGAGGCAGGTTTTAAAGGAAGCCTGGAACTGATTCAGAACTTCGGGCCTGTATGATGCCTGAAGACCGAAATACTGGGGGACGCCCCTCAGGTGCCTTAGCGTCAACTCCGTTCATTCCTAAAACTACATACAGAAGAATCAAACGATGTTTTAGTTTTCGGAAAGGTAGGTAGATGATCTGTTAATGTCCATTTAAAAAATATACAAATATTCTCTGGTGCTTTAAGGTCAGTTTATGTTCAGATAAAATGGGACTTTGAAAACCAAGAGCTTAGAACGGTACAGGAGTGATTTATCTGTGTCTCTGCTTGTCTATATTTGTTTTTCAAGGTTCGTATTGATCTGTTTATGACGGTGAATGGGCCAGATAGGTGGGGCTTAAAGAATGATAGTCCTATAGGGATCACCTTGACTGACGGAAAACCAAGCAAGCCTGCCTGGCCATTCTGAGAGGAGGGGTCAAGGCTACCATGGGCTGTTCTCAGCCCCAAACCAAGCAGCCATGTTGTTACTTCTTGAAATCGGTCCCTCTCGGGCCCTTGTTCTCTACTCCCATCACATTGCTTTGGTTCTGGCTGCCTGTGCTTGCCTCACCTCCCCTGCTGAGAAAATTGTAATAATCAGATGATCTGTAGTGACCCCTTTTCAGGAGCCTTTCAACCATATTGACTAACACTGATTAGAAACAGGAGTCACCTTGCCTTTCCAAATGTATCAAAAGGCAGCATTGGGAGAGGCCAAAGATAGGAGCTATCAGGTACAAGAAGTGGGAAAATATTTAACAATTTCTGATCAATAAAAGAGGCTAAGAATTTCAGAATTGATTTGTGCAGAGGGAGTTAAAGAGTACTCATAGGTAAAATAAAATGCTTTTAGAAAATATTTCTGCATCAAAATAGTTTTAAATGACCTTTTGCTTTAAAAGTGGAATAATTAAATGAGGTGATTATTTAAACTGAAATAGGTAATTATAATTTAATGTCATATATACTAAGCTAATAATTTAATCAGGAGCAGACATGAATAACATCTAAAGTTCTTTCTCCCTTTTTTCTTTGATCTGCTACCTATTAACCCTTTCTACTTACTAACCAACAAAAGAGAGAAGAAAACAAAGTAAGAAAAAAACCCTTGTATAAAGCAAAATATAGCAGGAACTTTTAAGATTAAACCTTGTTCTTTCTGAGTCCTTCCCTTTGAGCACTTGAGATCTGCCTATGATCATTATCATACATTATTAGCAAGGAATTCAGGTATTCATTTATATTCCTCTCTCATCCACAAAGGTAATTAAGGGAGAGATACTTGTCTCATGTTTTATAGATCTATAGAGATTTCAAGGTTACTGTTAAGACTGCATCATTGACAGAGAATTTGATAACAATAGAAACTGAGAAAAGCTAGGGAGTAATTGCTTAAGGACATGTTCTCGTTTTCTAGCTCTTCCTGCTCTCAGCAACTAAATTGAGTTTATCCAAACTCACAGGGAAAGTCTACTTTTCCAGCCTATTGCTGCTCATTTGTAACATGAGATGTTCTGGGGGCAATTAATATATCTTTGAAGCACATGGCAAGATGTTTTTGACCTTTCTCCACCTCCTCTCCAATAGTGGAGTATAGCCTATCTTCAAGGATCCTGATTAAGACTGCTGATCATGCCCTCTTCCCAACAAGGGAAGGCATTGCCTGCAAAGAGAATCCCCATGGGCTGGCAAATGGCACCCACAGGAGTGGGTTCTATCTATCTGTCATCTCCTGTGGGTTCATTTTAAACTATTGTCCTTTTCCATGCAAAGTCTTAGTAACCTGAGGAATGTTTAGCATGTGAGTCAAGGATTAACAGATTTCTAATTTACAAAACTGTATTCTGGTTTCTGTCAGAACCATAAAGGAGGGGAGGAACAGGAAGCATCAAGCCGTTTTAAGTTTCCTTCCCTTTTAGCCAGAGCCAGCGGCACACCAGCCTCTTGTTCCCTGGCTGCAGGACGACAATTATGCAGAGAGGCTCTGGGAGAGAAGCTGCTTCTGTGTGTGCAGCACTAATCACCTAAAAGGGAAGGAAACTTAAAACGGCTTGATGCTTCCTGTTC